CGGCCTCTGTCTTTGCTGAAAGTGGATGGGAGAGGCAATTCATAAAGTTTTAAAGCCCTCCAAGAGAACTTTCAAGCTGATTTAAGGATGGAATTCCTACTCTGGGATCCAAGCAGCAGCTCAGTGAAGCCGCGGAGTGTATTGTCTCTACCTTTGTCCCTCAAATGGTTGAACAGTGCAGAGTCTGGGAGCTCATGGGATGCTTTGATTGTTTGGTAAGTTTTGCTTTTGTGATCTTTTGGGAGTCTTTATGTTTCCTCTATGATCCTCTATGATCCTCTATGTAGATTTGTGGTCAATTTAGACCCGGTTTGCAACTTTTGATACATTTGGCTTTGACACTGTGTGGCTGGATCAGGAGATTGTGCGCATGATGGATGAGTTGCTCCATCGTTGCCAAGACTACGTCCGAGTTTTCCTCTTCGATGGCGAGGCTTGCAACCAACTCTTGAAGAGCATCATTTTTGGCCAGCTGGATGCGCATCATCGACGTAGCGTCATGGACTTGAAGTTCTTCTCGAAGTTGACCTTTGGTGAGTGCCCAGGTCTTTCAGTGCTGCCCAGATGCCCAATCAAATCCTGTTCTTCGACCAGGATCAGATTTTTGCAATGCAGGGACCATCCCATGCATTAAAGAACACAGCAGCGCAGATTTGTGCAGAGGGCAAAGTGGTGTTCTTCGGGAAATTCATGACAGACTGCTCAGGCATGCTGGCCAATGATTTGCCGCTCCCTGCGTTCAACAGAAAGGATGGCATGAGCGATCGCCTGACCGCACTCCTTTCATCACCCATGTATCTCATTCCAAATGAGGTCACTCTGCTATACTCTGCTGGCTTTCAATGATTAGGTTTAAATTTGTTCGTTTTTTGTTGGTCTTGTGATGTCCTGTGTCCCTTCATGTTCTTTGCATTTCTTTGCATGGTGTCTTCCGCCATCTGCGAGGTTCTCGGAGTGGCAGAGATTGATGATGTTTGCATCCCCTGGCACCTCAAGGGAGTTCTGCTATGGAATGTGACCACCGCCCTGAGTGTGGTTTCTCAATTTTGTTGAGTCTATTTGATTCTTTTTTGATCTATTTTGAATTATTTTGATCAAATTTTTGGATGTGATTTGGGACATTTAGATGCTTGTGCAATATGATTGGAGACTTTCAAAGGGGACAACCTTTTATAAAATGAGTTCACTGGGTAGACAATACCTATAATTTCATGAAATCTAGTGTTTTGTCATTTTATAAACACCCATCCAGGCACCAAGCGTGCATGGAAGCATGTCACTCTCGCAGAGAGTGGAGAATGCGCTTTCAGGATTTCTGCTGTGGGACCTTTGGTCTCTGGTGGGAAGACAAAGAGAGATTGAGCAGAAAGTTGGAAGAGGCCGGATGCAGATCGCTCCCGTCACCAGGAAGAACCTTCAGAGCATCGCCTTAACTACATCCCTGATATGCGCTGGAAAGCCAGAGGCCTGGGACGTATTCAGACAGCCCCATGGATTGAATGAAATCCACATTGAACGCTTCTTCGGGCAGCTTCGTGGACAATACGCTTCCAGCGAAATGTCTGCAAGGGCATACTGGAACGCGGGCGCACGTCTAGTGCGGAAGCTGGAAAAGGCCAAGAGCGCAAAACATTCCAGCCAGCGACATCCTCTGGTGGAGGCCCCGTTGTCAACAACAGAGACATTTGGACAAGATTGAGTAGTTGTTGTTTTTGTATGTTTTTTTTAATTATGTTTTTTGTTTTCAATAGTGTTTATATGTGTTTATATAATTTATATATATATGTTTATTTGAGTTTTGGATAGTTTTGGTAGGTATATAGGAATAATATGAAATAATTGATGATGTTCCAGATGATTCCAGATGTAGGTATTTATGAAATGATGTATATAGATCTTTCATTTAAATATCATTTCTTTTGTATGTGAAAGGCATTTTATAAACATGAGAGGCACTTTATAGAAATATTAAAAGACACGTGTTCACCCTGTATGCATGCATCAATTTTATTTCCTTTGGGATCCTTTGCAATCCTTTGGGTGTATTTCTTGCAAATAAGGATGAAGGCATGCGCCAAAAAGGCTTTGGCAGCAGCGTTGCTTCTGGTCAGCAAACGCTCCGGAATTGAGACACAAGATTTGGAAGCCCTGTATCGGAAGGAGTCGGTGGGTGACTTTTTCACCTACGAGGAGGAAACCAGAGAGGTTGATCTCCTTGAGCATGCTTACATGGAGGTTGAGTGCGAGGAGGCCATGAAGGCAGAGCACAATGAGTTCCAGCATGTCTTGACCCAGATTGAGTCAGTGGCCCAGGAAGAGTATGCTGATGATGAGAACAGCGATGGAGATGGAGAAGCCCCACAGCCTGTGGATCCTGACAGATTGCTTCCAGATGGTGAGGATTTGATCAATCTGACAACCTGTGCAGATTCGCCTTCAGATGATGCCCCGCTGCCTTACCCCAAGACCTTGGAGGAGGAGGGGTTTTATGAAATGCCGAATCAGAGTGAAACTGTTGATGTATTTTTTGGGGGTAGCTGAAAGGCCATTTCATAAACATACCTGTCGGCACAGTGCTGTAGTTTTTGTACAGGCGATCTCGCAGAGCAACTTCTGGTGTGGACTCTGGAAGTTGAGCGTGCACCTCCGGTGTGGGAATCACGGCTTGGACAATTTATATTTGTCTAAAGCAGAGCAGGTCCGAAAGCGCAGCAGGGCATTGAACTGGCACCAGTACCTGGTTTGGAATCGGGTGTGCATTTTTTGCTTTTACTGCAATGACTCACCTGGGTGTTTGCTACAAGTATATAGTTTGATATAGTTTGTATTTGTTCTTAAGTATCTCAATTTTGCAACCACTAGGTCTTTGGAGCACCAGCTACAAGAGATCAGGGCAGATGAAGATGAAATGTTGGCTGGCCAGAGAGGATCTCGAGTCTCTAAATGGATCCAACACTCGAAGGATGTGCGGGAGAAGGTTGGATTGAGCGCTCCAGAGAAGCTCCAGACCCTAGCCTTTGATTAACCTGTTGAATCCTTTTGATACCTTTTGGATCCATGGGGGTTTTATTTGATTTGAGTGTTTGTGATTCATCTGATTTCAATATGCTTCAACTTTGAACTGTGAAATCAGTTTATGAAGTCTGGGGTCATGAGTTCCTGACGAGAAAAGGTGATTTTGGCTGCAGGGAGTCATTTTATAAATAACAAACCTTTAAAGTTCTTACAACAATATTTTTGAATGTTTTAGATATATTTTTTTATGAAATGCATCTTGGGTGTGGTTGGAACATTCTTGGGCTTGTGTTCCTGAGCCAGGCATTTTATAAACACTCCTTCACAGCAGACGTTCAAAGATTTCACAATAAATACTGTTTTACAGAATGCTCTATGGGTGTGGTTCAAGCATTCTTGAGGGTTGTGTTCCTGAGCTGTGCATTTTATAAACTGTGAACAGACAAAAACATACTCAGGATTGGCAAAGTGGTTGTGCTGAATCTTGGTCCCACTATTCTGCCAGCGCCGGCTTTGGTTCATACTGTATGGCCACGCGCAAAGAAGTCCAGGCCTTGTTCACAGGAAGTTGCAGTGTCATGCCTCAAGACATTCCGTGCCACCATCCTGACGGGTGGAGAGGCAGATCAGCAAGAAGGGAATGTGCTGGTGCCATCGAGCAGGACGTGGATGTACGGTTCCGAGCACTTGTTAGCAATCTTGGACGTGAACCAGGATGCGACCAACGTGGATGCAGGAAAAATTGTTTTGACAGATCAATCCATGTCTGCCATTACTCAGATTCAAGCGCTAGATGTTCCTGATCTTCCAGATGGACAGAGGGGCAGTGGCAAACGCAAGAAACGTGCGGGCAAAGGCAAACTCAAGGGCAAGTTGTGGTCTGTGGCATCTGTGCGGAAATCAAAGAAGGCTGTTTCGACAGGAACAGACGGGCTGCCAATGCCCGAGGAGTTCCGACGCAGCATTCCAGGTCGCCGAGTCATCCGCAACACGATCATGAAGGCCGGTGAGATAGAGAGTTTCCGATTCTCAGCAAACCCGTGCTTCGACAAAGTGACCCAGAAATGCCTTCTCAAGGATCGCAAGGACTATGACTGGAAGCGGTTCATTGAAGACGTCCCATTCCTTTTTCAAAGCCGCTTTTTCCAGACCCGGAATGCAGAGAGATTCGGGCGTCTTGTCCATCAGGATATTTCAGCAATCTTCAAGCAGCTCCAGGGTACCAAGCCAGACCGCAAGGCATACATGACGTTGATTGCTGAGTGCCATGATGCAAAATTCGGCAACGGCAAGCTCTTTTCCAAGCTGGTGTAGATTTGAAGCTTCGGGATGCTTCGGGATGTTCACCTTGAGGTGATTGGGGTGAGATGGGGTTAGAAGATTCTACCACAGAATCTGAGGCTACATTTCCAGCAAGAGCTCTGGAGCAATACAGTTGATCAAACTCCGACGCAAGTCATGGAAAAAGGAATCCTTCAGACTTCGGGTAAGTCACTTCATAAAAGCTGGAATTTGAGCTTCCGATGGCATGTGATTAGATCTTGTGTGTTTGGTTATGTCATTTTGTAAAAACTCTTGTGTTTGATCTCTCCTCCAGTTTGTTGCCTGCCTTTTTTCTGGCTGCTGGTTCGGCCATTTCATAAAAAGGTCGGTATCTCATTCTATAGAAAAAGAGCTGGTAGTTACATTTTATAGCACATTTTGTTTATAAGTTGCAGAATTCACACGGCAAGGGCCAAGGTAAGGGGGATGTAGAAACAATATGTAAATTACTAGCAAAGGAATCTACTAGGACCTTTTCGCGCGCGCGGGGGCGGGGGTAGGAACAAGAACGCTACTAGGGGCTCCTGGCATGGCTACTAGGAGCAAGGATGCTACTAGTAGCGTCCTTGTTCCGAGTAGTAATGCCAGGAGCGCCCCTAGTAGCGTCCTTGCTCCCGTTCGAGTCGCGAAGCTAAGAGCGTCCCTTGTGACGAAACTCTAAGGCTCGCTGGTGCGTTTGCTCTTAGACTTTGGTGCCGATCCCAAAGTGAAGACCGTCCATGGTGCCACCGCCTTCTCCTTGGCGGTGGGAGAGAATCACTCCGACGCGGCGCAGTTGTTGAAGCCCAAGCGACGGCGACTTCATGTGTGACGGGCGACGGGCGAAATGCTCTGACGGTGTCGACCCGAACGGCGAGATCGAAAAAAGCACTTGGCGAGTCGATCGATTTCTTGGGGGTTCGAGGCTTGTCGAGTCGCAACGACCAGCTGCTTGGAGCAGACCGAGTTTGGGGGGAAGAAAAGGGAAGAACGTCATGCTTTCAGATGGAAGACTTGCATCGACAGGAACGAAGACTTCAAGCCTCCAACTGCGACAGTCGATCCAGATATTTGCCTTTCCCCACCAGTGACGAGTGGTGCTTCTGATCCTCCCCCCTTGGCGACAAGTGGTTCTTCTCTCCTTCGATAAAACCTCGGGTTTGCTGGGCACATCTTGAACTCGAATGGAGACAGAATCCTCAGTTGAACCTAGTGACAGATCCGTTTGACCGTTCTCACATCCCTGTGATTCCGTCCACCAGCCATCTCAAAAACTGCCAAAGCATCTCCAGGGCCCTAAAGAAGCACTGTTTCACAAGAACTCCTCATCCTCCTCATCCTTCCCTCTTTCTCCGATCGCAGATGATCCCTTCTGGCAACCATGGAGAGCCTACATCCGAGAGACAGAGGACGATTGCCTTTGGTCCTTGCAGGAGAAGGGCCACGGCACCCGCGAATGTGTCTCTGTGTGTGTGTGTGTCTTTGTGTGCGTGCGGCAGTGAAGGAAAGATGGTGTGTGGAAAGTTGGGAGACTCACTTATGGTGAGAACAAGTACAGATCAAGGTCTAGAAAAGCTGGCCTCCCACCCTAGTAGCGATGGCCTCAGTCCCTAGTCAGCCCTCTTTCATCTCTTCGTCTTCTTTTTTGGCCATATTTTCTTCGTTCTGCCCTTTGCTCCGTTCGTAGAAAGGCCCTTTGCTCCGTTCGTAGCAGCATCCATCCTCGCTCCCGGCACCGAAAGGATCGGATCTTCAACGGCACCGTGGAGAGTCGGCTGATGAACTCCGAGGCGCACGACTGTCTCTGCCAGGCCGCGGCCGCGCAGCGGGAGACGAGAGAAAGGCGAAAGCGAAGTACCGGAGAAAAGCGGGTTTGAAGGCTTGAAGTTTAAGGCAGAAGAGTTGGGGGATTGAAGGAGAGATGGGGATACCGCCGATGTAGATGTGGCTTCTTGGAAAGTCTTACCGACGGACGGCTTTGATGCTCAGCATGCGTCTCGAAACCCATGACTCCATGACCGCCATTTTGATGGCTTTGCGAACCAGAACCATCCTTCTTTGCTCAGAAGTCCTTTCCTTTGCTTCTCAACCCGCATAGGCAAAAAGACCCACCCTGCACCTTTTGGTCCCAAAGGATCGTTTCCCATCGTTTCCAGGTGTCCTCTACTCCGCACCGGCTGACGACCGACCGGCGCTCGTTTGCAGGTTCCCACACAGAGCGATAGCGTGGGGCCTGATGGAATCCTGGCGCCTGTCCAAGACACCATGTGGCCCCTCACCTGACCAAGAGCGATCGAGACTGCTGACGTGGGGGACAATATCAGCATCTCCCCGGGAACCCGCACGCTCTTAGCTGTCTATAGCTGTCTTAGCTGTCTATAGCTGTCTATAGCTGTCTTAGCTTCAGACTTGAGAGGTTCACCCGCTGAGATGTGGTTCGAAAGGCGTGGAACTCCTGTTCTTAAGGCGTGCACCGCATGTGGGGAAGTTCTGCGATTCCATGGTGTTGGACTTCAAGATCAACGAGAAGGCAATCCTTTGAATCAGCTTTTTGAACGGACCTGTGGTTCTGCAGACAGGTGGCGATGTAGGGATCAGTTGACTAGGTTGTAGAGTAGAGGTACCCAGTAAACAGGTATCAGGAGCTTGTCCTCTCAAAGCAAACAGCTGTTACAGCCCATCTTTCAAACCCCCCCACCGCCTACCGCGCCGGCCAGTGCCGCCATGTGGGTCTCTCCCCATCTCCGGGACGTGTGCCGCACGTTGGGTCGCCAGGAAGTGAGGACCACCGGCTACTGTGAATGGAACCTCCACGCCTCCGTGCCCAGCCACTTGGAGAGAGCGAGATCGAGTCACTCGTGCGGCGCGTCGTGAGGGCATATCGCTTCGGAGGTCGAACGCACGAACGTCCCGTTCGGTGGTTGGGGGGGTCTCAGGAACCCGGCAGGTTCCGTGCTGTTTCATCGCGGGGGGGTTCTGCCGGCATCTTCAGAGGTGTTGAGACTATAGAGATGTTCCAAGTACCAGTTTGGAAGAAAACGAGATGCTGTTTTTTAAATCATAGAAAGGATAGCAGAAAGCCATAGGTTCAGCTTCGAAGAGCTCTGAAGGCTGTGTGATGGCCTGCCGCATGGCCTTTTCAATTCTTTTTTCCTCCGAGGTGACAGTGTGATCTCCTTGGACCTGAGCATGAACGACACAGGGGCTGCCACCGTTTCAGGCGGAAGAAAGTGATCCGCAAAGACGCAGTCAAAGTGATCCGGTTCCGGGGCGGGGGGTGGCTTTTGGTGTTTGATGCAACCCCACGGCCGACGGGGTCGTGTCTGGGTGCAACAGATGGTCCACTTGGATGAGAACTTTGGAAGACCAGATTCTTCATCGAAAGCAATACATCATAGTAACAAGGACGCTAGTAGAAACAAGTGCCACGCTACTAGTAACAAGTGCCTTACTACTAGTAACAATGTTTGCTTCTAGTAACAAAGTGCTTTACTAGTAGTAACAAGTGCCTTACTAGTAGTAACAATATACATCCCTTCCTTCCCGCCAGGTTCCGTGGTGCCGGATGCCAGCGGAAAGGCCTGGACCCTCACGGGCGACGGGCACTTTCAGCTTCCTCCAACGATGCTGGGCCGAAGAAGTGATGAAGTAGTTGGTTATTTCTGAGTAGGCATCAGTCATCCCTAGTAGGACCGTAGATGGACGAAATACTCAATCCCTTCAAACACCGCTTGGAAGCCCAAAACTCAAAGTTAGTGAGCCTGCCAGAGTGTTTCGGCGAATGGACGAAACAAATCAAACCCTGGCAACACAAATTCAATGAAGTCGTTTTCAATATTGACCTTTGGGGGTCCGGGATTGGTGACAGTCATCGACTGAGGGGTTTAAATATTTGGTCCATCTACTGTAGCAGGTTGGTTATTCCTTCTTCCATGAGTGGGAATGAGAGGATAAATTTGGAAAGAATTTCTATTGCTCATTCCCTGATTCCTTGGTCCAGCACCAGTCATTCTTTGACCAAAACAGAAGAGTTGTTCTTCTGCAACTATGAAGAAGGCTTGATTCCGCACACACGGCCACCAACGCCCACACCAACTATCCTGTTTTGCTGCACTTGGATCTCTATGCCACATGATAGCCGATAGCACCAATCATCCATTCCTCCCAACATCTCCCAACTGTTTCTGTGCAGATGTGTGGCAACGCCAAAGCAATTGTCCTTTTTCCACGTCTTCAAAAACATCAAAGCGACTGTCACCATCGGGTTCCTCGCATGGGGGTTCGGGAAAAGCAAGTGGCAGACACTTCGTTCTTTCTTCATCTTCCTGGAAAGTACCGAGGATGTTGTCCTCGAACTACACCTTGGTCGCTTGGGTCAACATCCCGAACTTCATCTTCGCCAACGCCTCGGACGCCGCCACATTGCAACTCTTCGATGCTATCGGCCTCACAGGCGTGGAAGTTGGGAGAGGGAGAGTCCATGACAGGAGGCGTGAGAAGGAGGTTGGATGTGTTGAGTGAGATTGCGAAATCTATCAGGCAATCAAGAGCCTTGCTTGCAGCTGGTTCAACGTGCAGAGATCGATGCGACTCCTGCCTTTTGTGGTGGCGAATTCTTGTGTTTCTTGGCAATCATGAGGTCTTGTAAGAAACTTTGGAACGAAATCCGGATGGACTTGCCAAGTTGCCATGACATCATGATGAAAACAATCATGAATCATGTTTCTTGTTATGCTCTGTGCTTTTCTCTTCAGGCCTTTTGGTTTTTGCTTTCAGACCTTTTAAGCTGTTTTTGATTTGTCAATTTCTTGGGTCATAGAGGCTTATAAAACGGTGAAATCTAGAGACGATGAAGGACAGCTTCTCCAAGGCAACAGCTCTCAGCACCATTGCTGCTACACAGGTCATGGCACGTCCTCGTGGTGGCATTGGAAAGAGTTGGATAGCCCGGCAGCCACATACGATACGGCAACAGGAAGGTCCTTACTTGGATGCAAGAGTCATCCATTCTTACATCTATGCTTTCATCATTTACATGCATCTACTGTAGTATCCAGTGGTATCTCTACATCTTCATAAGAAAAATCACCATGAGACAACTGGCAAAACAAACCCAACCGAAGTCTGACCAAACCGCATCGGCTCCAACCAGTCCGCTTCGACATCTGCACCTCGACCTCGAGGTCCACCACCACCACCTCGACCTCCACGACCTGGGTGAACCAAACCATGGAGGATGAGGAGAAGGACTGTCAATGCAGCTGTGTCAGGAGCTCAGAATGAGGAGGCTTGGAGGATGGAACTGAGAATGAAGCAGTCCAGAAAGAATTCACAAGATCTTTGAAGAGACCAAAAACCTTCAAAAAGTCATCAGTTCCTCATTCAACTGAGGCCATCAACATGACAGTTGCTTGGCCCGCAGTTCTGAACGTTCCTTCACATTGGAAGAAACAGTTCCAGCTCTTGCATCATGCATCAAACACATCAGAACAGATCGGTGGATTGACCGAGCAGCTTTCTTGGTGCATTCTGCGTTTTGGGCACCAAGAGTCACTGGGACTCACTCGGGACGAAACAAAAAGAGAACATGGAAAACATCATCTCTCCGTTTGGTCCAGTTTGCTTCGGTATCCAGGCAGAGGTGGAAGCCGAGATCGGCACGCCGATTGGAAACCATCGCTGGGCTTTGAAGATGCGCGCGTGCGACAGCGAGGAGAGCGGGAGAGAGGGCATGGCTGAGATTCGACGGTGGGTGAGATCTGTTCATAAAAGCGCTCAACATTCCATCAGTTCTGGTTGGTGTTGGCTGGTTGGTTCCTTTCTGTGGATCTCCTTGGTCTATTTTTGCTTGTTGCGTTGCTTTTGTTGCCATGATGCCCTCATCGGTTTAGCCAGACCCACCTGCGGCGCTCGGCCTGGCTCGTGCCTCACAAGGCCGCCTGGGACAGTGGTGCAGACCTTTTGGTGGATCCGTTCACCGGCGAGTCCGCGTGGACCATGGTGGCCGCCGTCGCCGAAGGCGGAGCCGAGGAAGTCAACAGCGTCGCCGCGGCACGGTACAGCCAGGAGCCCCTAGTAGTAGTTGCGTCCTTGCCCTTTGCTACTAGTAGCTTGATGCCCTTTGCTCCTAGTTGCGTCCTTGCTCCTAGTAGCGATGCCAGGAGCCTCTAGTAGCTTCTTGTTACTCGTAGCGTCGGTTGTTGGGGGGGTAGAATCGGTTCGAGGAGATTCGAGGTGCTGAGCTGAAGAACGAGCTGAAAAATGAAAAAAAAACACACAGATCAGATCATTCTTCAAATCTTGCACAGGATCACTTGGAGCTCCACACAGGTCGAGTGGGTGGCCGAAATTGGCGGACCTTGGTCGTTTTCTGGTTCGTCAGGTGGCATCACGACCTTCTACACCTCGGAGCCTCTGAAACCGGAAATCGTGGAGTACCGGCAACTCTTCAATTGCAGTTCTCCGGGGTGTCAGACCACCGTGCTGCTGAGCAGCACAGGAGTGTGAGGTGAGCTTTAGAGGGCAGGGCTTTTTTCACGGCACCAATGAGAGTTCGACAGTAGTGTGAGGGGTTCGTCGGAGAAACAGAATGCATGTCCACCGAAAGACAGCATGTCCAAAAGTGGCCCTTAAATTGTCTTCCGTCTTTAGGTCTAAAAGAAGGTCTTATTAGGTCTTAGAGATCAAAGAAGGGTGTACGATGAGCTGCGTGGCTGCCAGATGCTTTCACTCAGGATCTTTCGGGATATCCCTCGTCATCCTTCGCGAACCTGCGCTTTGGACGTCGATGTTTGGATCACGGACTTCGTGAACGATGAGCACCACAGCAATCCAGAAGTGGTAGCAACTTGTCTAGAGAATGTTCTTCACCAAAAAGGCAAAGTCTTGCATGGATATATTATTGTGGATTTCCTGCTTTGCTGTGTTTGTTCCTTCTGAATCTACCCAGAGTCGCCAAGTGAATCTTGCATGAATGCTTTCATGGTCATATGCTTCATGACAGATATCTCTTTCTCAGAGCTACGTTCGTAAGCTGGAGCGATCGGACGCTACAAACGGGGCTCCTGGCATCGCTACGAACGGAGCAAACCTGGCGCCCCCAACCACCCGCAGGACCTGATCCGTGTCCGTGGCGGCGCTCCAGTGAACTCCCGGGAGATCCGCCGGAACTGTCACCCGGACGGCGCCAACGAGCCCAATCGGCTCTACAAGTGCGTGCACAAAGAGATCCCTGGGTCCTAAGCGTCGCGCTCAGCGCTGGTAGGTTGGGTGGATGCCCATGGCTCTTAGTTTCGTTAGGTTGGTTGATTCTATGTAAGTGGAGAGAAGTTGAGGGAGGTCAGGTCGAGAGAGGTCTGGTGGGTCATGGGAGAGAAGGAAGATGAAAGAGAGGTGAAGGTATGTGAAGGTCATCCAAATCGATCCAAGAAATCTTTTCTTGCTTCGAAGAAAGCAAAAAAAAAGCATCCTCTTTCGGTGCCAGAGCTTACCCGCCCGAGGAATCTCGATGAGTGGATTCTGAGCACCAGCGCTGATCGTGCCCTGCGCGTGGACGTGTCGATCACCCCGTGGGTCGACCCTTGGAGCGAACGGTTCGAACGGACGTGGGCGACAATCGTCCAAGCCTTCAGAACTGAAAGCCGGCCTTTCAAACAAAAGTGGGTCCAACAAAAAAATGTTCTGTTTTTTGTTAACAACTAGTTATAAAGGTTCTTCTTCTTGTAACTTGCTAGTGTAGTGACCTGACATCAATTACCATGACTCAAATGTCCCGTCCCTTTCCGCAGATCTCCCAAAAAACCGCTCACCTCTTCTGTTCTTCTTTTCACCTCGCTGAGGACGCGTATCCCAAAGACGGCAAGTACCTCACTGGCATCGCCACCGTGTCCTGTGCACTGGTGGAGCTCCCCGAGCGGAATCTGCCCAAGTCTGGCAGCATCCACGCCGTGGGCTCCGTGAAGAGGAAGCGAAGTCCAACGCAGAGAGAGAGAGAGAGCAGTTCGTTTTCCGGACGAACGTGTTGAAAGGAGAAGTGATCGAAGAAGAAGAAGAAGAAGAAGATGATGATGATGATGATGATGATGAAGCAAAAAGAAGATAAGAATGAGACCGAAATCATTCTAGTGTTTGTTGAAAAGCAAGAAGACTGTGTTGGTATCTTAGGGATCAGCAGCTGACCGAAAGACCTTGTTTGAAAGACCTCAACTTTTTCCGCTTTGTTCTTTCTTGGCTCCTTCTGCAGCATCAATTTGTTGGTTAGATGGCAAGATGGTCACGTTGGTTTCAAGTCCTCAGTTTGTTCTTCAGAAAACTTGGGTGGATGCTTCGGCTTTGTGTCTTGCACTACTTGTACCTTGAACTGGACTCGCAGTCTTGCAAGAGGGAGTGATCCGAAAAAAATACACCCGTGTGTCGCACCCACATGTGGTCTAACACGGGTCAGTTTGCAGATATATATATATATATTCTACTAGTGATGGCCTCCACCCTAGTAGCGATGGCCTCCCACCTAGTCAGAAACAAGATTCCCAATCGATCTCCGTGACTTCGCCACATGAACTTGCGGATGCTAGGAGCTGTGAGGGCTCCACCCTGACGGCGATCGGGGGCGCCGTGGGCGCGACGGCGGACGGGATGGCACCCAGCATGTATTTGGGACAGGCACGACGGATGTGGAGTGTGAGAGCGACCAAGCCGGCAAAACACAGAGGATGCTGTGAGGGTGAGTTGATGTGATGATGATTGGATGGAGACTTACAACTTGTGAAGATCAAAATGGCCCCTAGTAGCGTCCTTGCTCCTAGTAGCGATGCCCTTTGTTCCTAGTAGCGTCCTTGCTCCATCAGTTCTAAGGACTTTAGGAGCCTGGGCCGTGAAGAACGCCCGATCGGGAACCGTGACTCTTCGGCTTCGTAAGCACCTACCTGGGGGGCTTCGGATACTGCTGTGGAAACGTGGGTGGGACCGGGACACCGGTTTTCCCAAAGGAGGTCAACACAAGAGACCCCAACCAGGTCACCCCGCGCTGGTGGTCCGGGTTGTGACCGAAAACCTCGGTTGCAGGCTTGGGCCTTTTCACGGATGCTAAGCAAAGAGGAGTTGATGGCCTTGCATTTGGGCACCAGGACGTTCAAACGCCGGTTCGGGTGGACGGGTGGAGGGAATTTGGGGTGGACGGGTGAAGTTCCCGTAGACATGAGTGAAGTGGACGGTTTTCCACGTACTAGCCCTCCAATCGGAAGAACGCCACTGGCAATTCAGCGAAGAGCAAAACCTTTGGCTCGATGTGAGGTGTCCATTCCATGTCGCTTTGCTTCGACATTTGAAACGTGGAAGAAGAAGAATGAATTAAGTAAGGTGACTACTTCGCTACCAGGCGAAGTTAGCTTCTACATATTATGAGTGCAGGATAGCTCACGCTAACAATTGGGTGGGATTTTGGATTCCGGAACGCTTTTCCACGAGCACGAAGGACCCGTTATCATCGAGACTATCAAATTCCTGTGCAGAGCACCGAGATCGTCAATCCCGGCGTCGAAGTCGTGGTGTCAGGGTGCCGTGGTTGCAGGTCAAAACGAACTCACCCCGGTGATCTTCCCCGTCGATCCACTGCCATATCGTTGCGAGTTTCTTTCTTTCATCCCAAATACGTGCCAGGCTTTTTTGGAGAACGCTGACTTTGCATAGCTTTGGTGGAGTCTTCCAAGTGATTCCCTTGGAAAAGCTCCGGGTCGGATCATTAGGTGATGACATGAATTTGCACCTCCCAGATTCGCCAAAACGAAACAGAAAAACTGAGTCACTTACGACCTTTCTCAGGTCTCCCATGTCCTCTCCCTCTTACTCCCTGGCTCTGTCGCACTGCGCGGAGAACCGCTGAGGTTCATGCAGTGTGAGTTCCCCGGGTGCAGTGCCTCGGTGACCTTGACCGGTTTGCCGACCAACGGCGACGCGCGGTGCTTCTTCACCTACGGCGTGGCCATTACCGACTTCAGTGGCCCCGAGGAGGTCGTCGAATACATCAGGACGAGCGGATTAGAAGCGAAACCGCGAGACCCCGAGACCGAAGTGGTCTGGCTGTTTTTGTGAGAAAAAGAAAAGAAAGACTAAGGCTCCTTAGAAGAGGCCAAGATGGAAGAGGAAGAGTCTTTTCTTTCTTTTCGTGTTCTCATGATTCTGTTCAGAAAGACGGACTTTCTAGGATCGATGAGCATACAGTGGTGGAGCGATGTTGGCCTCAAGCCGATGGCAATCCAGACACCTTGCCACTTGGTGAAGTCAATAGACACCTTGCCCGATGGCAGTGTCTCCGTGTCTCCTTCGTTTGAGTGGCTGCGACACCAGAGAAGCAATGGGACACGATGTGAAAGATGTGAAAGTCTGAAAGCAATCTCTTTGGAAAGTCCTGTTTCTGCCCGAATGGAGAGGTCAAATGCACATGTTCATTCTGAGATGCATCCGTCACATTCGAGAAGGATTTTTGGAGGTCAATCCCTGTATTCCTTGCCCTTTTCCTTACCATGCTCAGCGCTCCAAGCAAACTGAACTTTACATCATTGGATCCATGTTTCTAATAGCTTCTAGTTACTAGTAAGGCACTTGTTACTAGTAGCGATGCACTTGTTCCTAGTAGCTTCCGTTGGACATCTCAGTCGCCTCAGTTACCTTTGCGCGGACAAGTTGGACGTCTCCCAGTCGGTGCTACGAAGCTCCTCGCATGTGGAATCGAGTCGGTGCACCGGGCGCCGGTTGGAGCGATTCTTCCACTAGTCACTAGTAGCGTCAGGAGCTCCTAGTAAGGCCTGGAGCCCCTACTCGCTTCTTGTTCCTAGTAGCGATGCCAGGAGCCCCTAGTAGCGTCCTTGTTCTTTTTCCGTCCGATCGCTCCGTAGCGATAGCTTTCCCGGCCAGCCAGGCCCTAGTACTCGTAGCGTCCGATCGCTCCTACTAGCGATGGCCTCCAACCTGCCAGGGATGGTTCTTTTTCCCCTCCGTTGGGATGCATTCTTTGCACTTGCACAAGGCCGAACTGAGTGAATCAGAACTGCCCCGAATCGAAACCAAGATCAACCAGGAAACGTGGCGACACCGGCTGGGCGGCTGGGGGGGTATGAAGCGAAGCGGAAAGACTCAGCGCTTCTGAGGTTCCTTCTTGAGAGATGGTGAGGTGGTCATAACGGCCAAGCTTTCAGAGGAAAGATGGGAGAACGAAGCTGCTGTGTTACTAGTGTGGTTTCATTCAGTAAAAACACTCCGGTGAAAACAAGAAACGTTTGGAGAAAGCATCTTCAAGTGATCATGAACCAAAAACGCAGAAAGAGCACGAGGGTCGAAGCGGAAGAGCGCGATTCGGTGTCCCAAAGGCGCCGAGTCGATGCCACGACTCCCAGTCATTCGTGAGGACGTGGACATCTTGGATTTCCGCTACCAAAATCGCTTCATGCTCCATGCAGAGGCGATTCACAACAAGACGGTGTCTTTTTTTTGGGTTCGAAGAGAGGTCGGTCAGAAGGAACGTGCCACGGTCAGAGTGCCAGAATGCCCAAAGAGTGGTTGACATCATCCAATGACTTAATTGGAGGATTCATTGGATGAACACGCCCGTTTCTCAGCGATCACACCATCAGGCGACCCTCCAATGCCTCGGTGGAGCGGACAAAGAACTCCAACAAACCGTGCTCGTGGCTCGGCGCGCTTGGCCGCCGCCGCCGGCGGCTGGGCCCACGTTCTGCCTTGGCCTGTTCATTGCACGTGGGTTGGTTCCGATATGTCAGTTTTTCCAGGATGTGCATGGCTTGCAAATTCCTTCTTTTCGGGGCAGAGGGGGGAGAACCTCCATGTTTCTGGCCATGTGAAGAGCGTACCTCGAGACGCGCGTTGGACCTTCGGTCGCCCCCGAGGTCCAGCCCTCGGTGACGCATATCTTGGCCACGCCGGTCAACGCACAAGGCGCCACGGTCCGTTGCGGTCCGCGGTTCGGGTCCCGGTGGGGCCAAACGTCCTGAGTTCTCAGGTTGGACCAAGTCGTGAAAAAGAACTGTGGAGGTCTCTTCAGACGTCCTGAAGAGACGAGACAGACAATGCAAAACGCCCGCTCTTCTCCCCCCTCCCTACTTAATTAAGTAGGCAAGTACTACTTAATTGAGTAAGGAAGAAGCTCTGGCACTCTTCCTTTGGTTCCTAGGAGCGATCGGACGCTACGAACGAGGCTCCTGGCCGTACTACGAACGGAGCATCCTTACTACTAGTACCAAGAAGCTACTAGGCTTTTTTGAGGGAAACTGAAGTTCCAGAAAGAGAGGGTGGCCTTCAGCCTTCACGGCAGGCTCGGGGCCCTACGCGTCGACGGCCTTCTTCGACACGTCCAACGGCTTCGTTGTTCCACCCAACATTGGCCAAGCATCCAGCGCCGCGCTGCAGGCGGGTGACGGGAGGGCGGTTGGAGAGGGGTTTTTGAGCGGCAAGACATGGAGGCCCGATGGCTCGGCTCATCGAAAGAGGTGTGGGTGGTGTAGGAAAATGGATGTTGAGCAACGGGGCTGTTGTGTTTGCGCGCACTAGTGACTCACATTAGGTCTCACTCAGGCAGAATCACCGGATACCTGCACTTTGATGTAATTCGCATGTGATTTGCATCATGGACATCTCATTCTCATGTGGCCAAAACATATGCAAAACATATGCACTCTTTACATAGGGAAAACTGAGAGAATCTCCCAGGTCCTGTTGTGGATTTCGAGGGATCTTTCGCTTTCGGGTCTTTTCGAGAGGGCCTCTCCTTAGCTCCTTTCGGAAGACGGAAGACGCGGCCGTCACGCGGCCTGACGCTTCAGGTGAATGTGGAGGGCGTGACCAACGGACAGTTCTGGGCCTTTGTCGTCTATCGGCACCTCGAGGGGGTGACGAAGCCAAGCTCTAAGCTAAGCTTAGTCGCGTTCGGGGGGATTTTCCGGTGGCCAACTGGAAGACTTAGTAGCGATTCCAGGAGCCCCTAGTAGCTTCTTGTTCCTAGTAGCGATGCCAGGAGCCCCTAGTAGCTTCTTGTTCCTAGTAGCGATGCCAGGAGCCCCTTAGTAGCTTCTTGTTCCTAGTAGCGATGCCAGGAGCCCCTAGTAGCTTCTTGTTTCTAGTAGCCGTGCGTGCCAGGAGCCCCTAGTAGCGTCCTTGCTCCTAGTAGTACGGCCAGGAGGAGCCCCTAGTAGCTTCTTGTTCCTAGTTCCTAGTAGCCGTGCCCTTTGCTCCTAGTAGCGTCCTTGCTCCTAGTAGTACGGCCAGGAGGAGCCCCTAGTAGCTTCTTGTTCCTAGTAGCGAGGCCAGGAGCCCCTAGTAGCCAATTTTTTCGACTGCTTCAGGAAAGAGGAGATCTACACCGGCGCCTATACATCGGTGTCTCTCTGCGAAGCTCCGCAAAGGGCAATTGGAAAGCCCACCCTGCAGGCGTGTCCTTTTGCTCGGGCAAGAACCACCAACGTTCAAGATCTTGAACGACGGCAGCGCGGTCGATAGGAACCTTATTCTTTGTGTTTCGTTCTAAGGGACACGGACATGTCACGTGACATGCACATTCAAGACCTTTCGCGCGAGCTTAGCTGCTCATTGGGCTGAAGCAGAGCTTGGCAGAGCTGTGACAGGACTTCAACGCTGATCCCTTCTTGGTGCAGTGTGAGTTTGAGCCTGGTATTGCATACACGCTTCTGGGCACCCGTTTTGGTCTCGGAGTTCAAAGTGATCGAGAAAACAAAACTCACAAAACGCCAGAGGATGAAGCAAAGGAAGTGACAAGACGTGGGTTTTTTGTGAAGGAGCAGGTCCAGAAGCTGAAGTGGCAACTAATCGGGACAGTTTGCGTGATTGATTTTGTGCCTAGATCTTTAGGAAGCTTCACTTTGTCCACAAAGGATCCTCCCACAAGACCCCGCGCAATGGCAGAGCCAAGGCTTATATTGTATTTGGATGCAATGGCAGAGCCATTCGGAGGAGGCTCAATAGCCATGTGCAAAAAGAGCAGTCTCTATGTGTTTGGTAAAGCTAACATAGCTAAGATTCCAAGCCAGAAGCTCTCACACTTCAAAGTCAAAGACTTTCAATGAGGAACCTCTACCTGGAACCCCATCCCTTTCCACGAGCTCATTCCGCTGATGGCTCATCCCTTCGAAAAAATCACGGCCAGGTGAGATTGCTCGCGTGCCCTTCATCGGAGCCATGCCCGACACCCCCACGACGCTGCCACTGCTGAGGGCGCGAGGTTTGGCCTTCGAAGATACCAATCCCTTGGCGGCCAAGGCGGAACGGATTCTTCGAGAACGGAGAAAAGGGAGAGGTTTGATCTCAAAAAGACGGTCTGAAAGCAGGAAGACGCAAGAAAAAGAAACAGAAAAACAAACAAAAATTGTTTGTCAACTTATGTTTGCTTGCTGTTCAGAAAGGAAGGATGCTTGGCACAGGTCTTCGGTGGTGTTGCGAGTGTGAAGACATACATGGCGATCGACCGTGCAACCGAATCAGACGATACACTAAGCTGGTGAAAGTTCGAGATGGAAACCACGTCCAGTTCGATTCTGATTCCTTCAGATGTCTTGAATCTCATGGGTTTTCCGTTTTTTGATTCTTCTCTTTGCTAAATATCTACTGAGTACCTACTGACTGATATTGCCTGTGTGCGAATGTCCAGGTCTATGGCACTTTGACCATCACATCTGCTGCATCTGAAGCGAATGTGACGCACTACCACCTTTACTACGGATCCTTGGCATGATGTTTTTAAAAAAGTATTTATGTTGCTTTTGTCTTTAATTCCTTCTTCTACCCTTACTTGCGCAACCGTGTCTTTCTTCCTTTCAAGAGAGGAACCGTCTTTGGTCTCTTACTTTGCCGGTTGCGCATGCTGCTATTCAAATTGTGGTAAAGCCAAAGGGATCAAAGCCGCAGGGGTCAATGCTTGTTACTCATGCCTTTGATGTCTTTTTGGCAGCACAAGTCTCACTTACAAGCGAGGTCCCAATCCAACATAACTCATTGCACACTTGGGATGCTGGTAGGAGGCAGTGAGTTGGGACCTTGTCAATCTAAAGGATATGCATCACCATAAGTGCCAGGTTGAAGGCAAAGACAAAGAATCAGAGCATTCAAGACATTCAGCACCTCAAAACAGCTACTATACGTTTGATCTGTTGCTTTTTGCCGATCTCTACCACTGTCATATCAGAAACTGGAAAAGGCAAAGGTCTGAGAAAGATACCAAGGAAGCTTCAGTCGCATTTGGCCAGATGGCAGTGAACCCTTTGCCATCATCCCAGCACCTTGGCAGAAATGTGGACGCTGAGTAATGTAGGTTGGAGGCCATCGCTAGAAGGTTGGAGGCCAAGAAGGGTCTAATATAGATTGCCATTAGGAGCGATCAGACGCTACTAGGGGCTCCTGGCCTTACTACTAGGAGCAAGAAGCTACTAGGGGCTCCTGGCATCGCTACGAACGGAGCGATCGGACGCTACAAGTTTGTTGTTAGATGCTTGAACAAGACACCGAGTACGCTCGGGTCTCGGACTCGTCTTGGACTCGACGTGAGATCTCAGGGGCCGATCCTGAGGCCACCGGAGCATATGAGTACTCGGTGCTGGTCAATACCCAGCTCCTACCAGTCGCTTGAGCAAGAGAAGCGATGCTGTGATCTTTTTTTTCGGACTGCTTGAGGAAAGTTTGTACAAGGTTTCGTTGCGTTCTCTCGTTCCACAGTTGCTGACGATCCTGGAACGTTTCAATCAGTTCTTTCACTTCTTTTCCACTCATTCTTCTCCCAACACGAAGGGTTTTCCTGGATGAAGTCCGGAGCTTTGCTTTGTGACAGGGCGCCAACACCTTCTTGGTCTTCTGCAAGAATTCCTATGGCGAGGCTCCACTCCGAAGAATCGCCCGCTCGGATCATGATGTTCTCATGAAAGTACCAAGAGGTGTCTCTTGAGAGGGCTTCCAAAAATGAACTGGAAATAAAAAAGGGAGATACTAGTAACAAGGTTCGCTACTAGGGGCTCCTGGCATCGCTACTAGGAGCATTCATACTACTAGGAACACGAGGACGCTACTAGTAATTCAATGTAAATCAAACAAATGCAAAAAGCAAAAAGGGCACGGTCGGACACGAATCAACAAAAGCTCGATAGGCCACGGTGAGCCGCCGCCTGGGCATCCTGGACATCTCGATGATTCTCCTCGAGGCCGGACCACTAAAGGGCGGACTGTTCGTGTTGCTGTCACGAGCTGCGGTGTGCGGAAGAGTCCTCCAACCTACTAGCAAAATGAGCTTAAGAGCGATGGCCTCCAACCTAAAAGTGATGTACACAAAGTGTTAATCAAAACGAAAGGCTCCCAAATCGATTGGTCCAGATGGATTCGAGATCAATTGGTTTCGTGCCAAACGTCCAACCATCCAAGAACACCAGCCAAAGGTCGTCGTGAACGCCACACACCACATTCGGTTCTCCGGCAGGATCCCTTGATCGCGCTGCAGTACATCAATGGCAATACCTATTTGGAGGCATGTTGCGTGCCACTGCGTGCCACTGCGCCTACCCAGTTAGTAGGCCTTGAAGCTTTTTGGGGGGGGATTGGGGACAGACAAATTAGATCTAAACGAGAAACAGGAGACCATCACGACACGTCACGAAACGGACGACTCGCAGCAGCTACAGTTGACCTCTGCATCGGGATCGATCGATCGCAACGGCGGTCGAAGGGAGAGAGGGGAGCACGGTGGCTTCGGTGGTGGCCGGTGGTTCACTGCTGGGCCGGTAAAAGGAAACCAGACCCCTTCGGTGCCTTAGGTGGCTTTGATTCAGTCCAAACCGAGCGCCTTCGTGTCAGATCAACAGCCAGATGAGCGGCCCCGGTGCACGGGTGGATGTCGCCGTGGTGCCTGAGGGTCACTCAGCATGTTTAGAGCACGAGGCAGGTTGAAATCCAGGCACGTCACCAGCCAAACATCAGCAACGGTTACTTTCAATCCTTCAAGACCGACCATTACAAGGAATCCGCTAGTAGGTTGTCCCGCAAGCCGCCCCCCTTGGCCAGTGAGCTGCTCCTTCACAGACGATCTTTCGCTTGTATTTCAGTGGAGGAAACATGAAAACAAAATGATTGCTGCATTTTGAACCAGGAATCCTCCACTGCCTTTCACTTTGGAGCCATTCCTTGTTGCTGATTTCTCTTGATGTCTTCTTTTTGCGGTGGGCGTGGTGCTTTTCCTCTCCCCTTCTTTAGATGTGAATCTAGAAATCAAATCAAGAGTGCGAGCGATATCCTACGTCCACTGCCCTTACTTCATTAAGTCGGTGCCTACTTAAGTAAGCAAGCGTGGGCTAAATCAGAAAACACGAACGACTGCAGTGAGGTGGGGAATCCAGAGCTCAGATCTCCACGGACTACACCCAGTTGGATTTCGGGCCACTGATTCAGAGCCGCTTGGCGCTCGACCCTGGCGAGATCTCGGGATACGAGTTCGGCCCAGTGTGTTCGGGATCATGTGCTACTGATAATGGCACAAATTCTTTCCAATGGTTTTACTGAAAAGAAGATAAGGGTATAGGACCCCCTTTAAAAGGGCCTTCCATTCTGGAAATTCTTATGTTAATTCCATGATTGTCTCATGTTGTTTCCGGAAATCCACCTCTCAGCATGTGTCCATGTGTCTTGCTGCAACGCATCCGGAATTCAGATGTGCCCAGTTTGCCAGGTACCGTGTGCAGCGAGCGAGACATCCAATACGATCTCACTTCGGGTTCCAAGGTCACTCGGGCAGATGTCAGGTCCAACCTAATAGTGTCCTTGCTCCTAGTAGCATTCCCTTTGTTCCTAGTAGCGTCCTTGCTCCTAGTAGGTCCTAGCAGTACGGCCAGGAGCCCCTAGTAGCGTTCTTGCTCGTTTGCTCCTAGTAGCGAACCTTGTTCCTAGCCGTTTGTTCCTTCAGAAGAGAATCTCCATGCGCCGAGCTCATTTGCGTGAGGTGATTGGCCCGTGCGCCTTGCAACCGGCACAGGCGCGGGTGTAGAAACTTTGGCCAAGAAAAGTGTTAAGGAAAGAACTGCGTTCATTGGGCTGTGCTGCTATGCTTTGTTTTTACTCGCTCTTGCTTGTTCATCCCCTTTCTTTTGACATTATAGAAGGCCAAGTACAAGATATAGCAAGAAAAAGGGATTGAGTGTTCTAACACGGCCGATCCGTTTGAGTCTTGGCCCCGAGGCCTACACCGTGGTGGTTTATGTGGCGATCCGCTACGAGTGTCCGTGTCAAGATCCGTGCTACTGTACAGGTCAAATGCGCTTCCAGAGCCAGGCCCAGTCCGAAGACGACTCCCTTCTTTTTAGTCCACTCTACCCCGGTACCACTTCATGGGTAGGCGCCCACTTAATTGAGTAAGGCTAGAATCCGATACTGAGTTATTGGACGCAGGATAGCTCACGCTAAGAAGCTCTCGCACTACTCAGATTCCACTCAGACTTCGATTCTCCGGGCGCGACATGAGTCACGTGACTCCTCGTGACTCCCCGTCGTTCCGGTCAGGCTGGAAGTGGCTTGGAACTGTCGCCCACGAATCGAATCTTGCTACCAGACCACGCGGCGCCCATCTTCACATTGTATCCATGTGTGCCTGGGAGACTCACATCGTCGGTCGGCATATCAGCCGTTTTCAGACCGGGAGGATCAGGATTGAAAGATGATGTGGCGCTAGGTTGGAGGCCATTACTACTAGTAACATCTAGTAGCGTCCTTGCTCCTAGTAGTATGGCCAGGAGCCCCTAATAGCGTCCTTACTCCTAACAAGGGCTCCTTTTGCTCATGTGGTGTTTGTCCCGCACGACCGCCCTCGCGCCGAGGGCGCGAGCTGCAATCTGGATTCCAAGTTGCGACTCACTGGACACGTCCAGGACGTTTTGCAAGCGCAAACAGCCGGAGAACGATGGAGAACAGCTTGGTTTTGGTGCGATGTGGAAGGTGTGAATGGTGAGGTTGGAGGGAGCGCTTGTAGATGCGATTTGTAGGTCTCCCATATCCAAAGAAACGTGTGAGAAGCAAATCGCTGCCTTGGAAGCATCTCGCGAGCTCGCAGGATCCAGGGACTTCTTACCCGGTGGTGACCATGTGCGCAGCATGCGTGCCACCATATAATCCTACGACGGTAGCTCAGCAGGAAAGTGGTCGAACAAGAAGGGAAGAAAGGAGTGAGATGAGGTAGAGAGAGAGAGAGAAAGAAAGTATATATATATATAATCATATATATATATATTACATATATTCTTTGGTCATTTCAGTTGCCGCACTTTTTGATGTGTCCTGCACACAAGATGTCCGGCCTTTCCGATGCGATGTCTAAGGATCCAATACCTCAAGCGATGGACCCACCTCGCACGTGTTTGCGAAATGGAGATGCAAGTGCACATCGCTACTGGCGCATCCGTTCCTTCGGACTTGAATCGTTTTTTCCGAACTTCGTGAGTTTTTCCGGGCGGAAAAACACCAAAAAGGGGGCCCAAGTGTAACCACGCTATCGCGAGCATCGCTCGCAGCTAATTTCGTTTCTCTGCTGAACGGCTGTGGTTGAATCTACACGAAGACATACTGAACGCAAGATATCCTGGTCGTTCGATCTTGCGGCTGGACAGTTCGGCCGCAAGCGCGTGGAAATGGCGCAGGTATCCCACAGGGCTTTGCTTGCGGTCAGAACACCATCAACATCTTGGAGGCTGAATTCTATGAGGCCCGACACACGAACCGCTTTTCGTTGCTTGAGCTCACACAACGGAGCTTGACAATGGACAAAACAAAAATGGAGCTCCGGAACAAGGTTCGCTACTAGGAACAAGTGCCTCGCTACTTGGAGCAAGTGCCTTAGTAACAAGGTTCGCTTCGAACAAAACGCTTGGATCGATAAGTCCAAGCGAAGTCGAACGAGCAGCGGTCAAGCTCCCGTGAAGCGAACGCCGAGGTGTCGCCCTTGGAGCGCACCGGCCTCAAGGTGGTTCCCGCCAGCTACTTGGCCAAGGCGGGGCTGAAGCGAAAGGAGGACGTGTCGGAATCAAAGGAACGACGTTTAAGGTGTTTCCTTGCAAAGTTGTGTCTTTTTGTTGTGTTTCTCCAAAAAGCCGGTCAAATCCTCTCAGCTGAACCGCCGAAGCGCCGTGGAGGTGCCGGAGATCGCGGGCGCCGACAAGGCGGCGGCCTTCGATGGAAGCCAAGCCTCGATGTATCTCATGGAGCCTCGGAAAGGGGAAGAAACGAAACCACCAAGCGGAAGACGAAGACGGCGGAAAAGAAATGAAGGAAAAGGAAAGGAAGGTAGAATGAAAGACATCAAAAGACATTTAAAAGAAGCAAAGGTGTACCGGCAGCCAGACATCAAAGCAGTTCGAGTTTCGGTTGGGAGCCAGTGGAATTGGTTTAGGCCAAAAGTTATGCCCAACAAAAAAATGGCTTTGAAAGGGCAACTTGGGTAATGCCTGTTGGCTTCATACTTCCAGGTGTTCTACTAGTAACAAGTGCCACGCTACTAGTAACAAGTGCCTTACTAGTAGTAACAATAAGCTAGTAGTAACAAGTGTTCTTGTCTTGGCAAAGGGCGTCCAGGTGTGTTTTCAACACGTGGCACACGAGTGTGGCCACCGACTGAGGACACCTTATTCGATGCATGGCTGGGAATCGATGTGGGCATCGGCCAGCAGGCCGAAACAGGAGGACACCGTGATGGCCTCCAACCTAAATGTTCATTGCCAGTCAGCCATTTACTTTGTTCTGTCCGTTCTTTTTTCAACATGTTATATCTTATATCTCCTTGTTGTTCCCTCTTTGTCTTTAGACCTGTAGGCCTTTCTCTGTCCTTTTTTTCCTCGAACTTCAGCTCTTGAGAAAGTCCTAGCCGGTCTTAGCCCTTTCAAGTTCGCAATTTGCTCCATGTGTTCCTAAGATTCATATGGCTCGATATGGCTTGGCTGGTAGGCAGCGATCTTGCGCTTCCGGGGCTTCTGGCAACCCGGTTGCGTGCCAAGCAAGGCAGGAGATGAAAGAGAGTGTATGAGAGTATGTGTCAGTCCGCGAAAAGAGAAACGCAAAAAACACCTCAAAAAGTTCGTTTTTTGGTTAACAAGAAGCTACTAGTAACAATTGCCTTACTGGTAGTAACGATGTTTGCTATTAGAAACCATATGTTCTTTCGGATCTCTTTTCTAGATTCTTCAAGCTGTACATGCTCGCCACATCGAAACACATCGAGACAGCGAGACACGTCTCTGTCACGACCGTGTCGACCGCAGTTGGTTCTGGAGTGGTCGGATGACATCATCACCTGGACCGAGCGCATCATCACAGAACCAGACGTGACACAGGCGTCGTGTGAACCGGGAAGGAACCGGAAAGGAACCGCGGTGATCGAGTTCGAGTTCCCAAAATTGCATGGCAAATGAGTTTCGCATAGGTTTCTTTGGACCTCAATTATGACTTACCTGAAAGGTGCCTTCTTGAGATCTGTTGGGAGTCTAAGGGACTATTCGTACCTAGCACCTAGCATTGCTCAAGGCTTGTTGGAGCTGGTTTGCACACTGCTACGTAGCTGGTTTTGGTATAACCTTTTGGACAGAGCATGCAAATCTCCATCCTCAACAAACCTCTGCATGCTCCAAAGCGCTTCCAGAAGCTCCCCAGCTTCGGACGTCCGCTTCTCCGCGAGTCCTTCACGGATGTCTACGTCGCGGCCAATTCGGGAAACTGGACCTTGGGTGCTTTCTACCAGGTGCGGCGAGTGCGGAGTGCACTCGGCGAGGTGAGGATTTCAAAGGGCAAAGGAAAGACTTTGCGCGAGAAGCTTCCTTTTTTGGCCCGCTCCCCCTCCTCCCTAATTAAGTAAGGAAGAAGCTAGTAGCTTAAATAGCTACTAGTATGGACGCAAGATAGCTCAAGCTTCTTCAAGGAAGCTCCCCCCCGCCTGAGGGCGAGGGGAGCTTCCTCGAAGAAGCGCTCGCACTAATCATTTGGTTCCTAGATGTTCCTAGATTTTTTGGGCAACTAAAGCGAGAGAGAGTTTGTGTGACAAGCTACTTCCGCAAGCTGTTTCGGGTGCTTTTTTTGGATCGTTTCCGTTCAGGTTGCCTTCACCGCAGAATCAGAGGGAGACCTGATTATCGACGGTGTGACCCCTGGTTCAGCCCTTTCGGCCGCAAAAAATCAACTGAGTTCGGTCTGAGATGGCCTCCAAACTCATTAATTTGAACAAGAGAACTATATTCTTTTGAGGTACGAATAGCGATGGCCTCCAACCTAGTAGCGATGGCCTGCTGAGAAATGAGTCGTGATTTTTGTTAATGTTGTGTTTTCTTACGTGAGAACATGCAAAAAATAAACATTGCTCATTTCAGATGGATCACATAGCGAGTCCAGATTTCCACACTGCTTTTTGCGGGGAATAATGTTGGGGCAATGGGGAATCTTCAAACCGGATCCAATCACGGCAGGAAATCTTCAGTGGCCTTAGTCCCATCAGCGCCATCAGAACTGGTGACCAGAAATCACAGAGAAGGTTGGTTACCACCTTCCTACGAAGCGGTAAGACCGTATCCCTTTGAGCAGACAGTGCTGTCTTTCATGGTCTTCAGCCCCTAGAGTTCTTCCAGAATGTTGTCCCTTTCTCATCCCACCGTCCCTTGGTCCCTGTTTCAAAACAAACCGCCCCAAGTGAGGATTATAACATCCATTGCCTGTCCACGGACTCCGCCGGAAGTTCTGGACGCGAGCAGAACGCGCTGGCAGCTTCTTGGCGGCAGGGACGGCACCTTGCTCGGATCTTCCATGGACACCGTGAATGGAATTGATCCGTAAAAAAGACGCTTGTGTTGTGTTGTGTCATGTGTTGTCCTTCTGAAAAGAAAGGGGATCCACATGGATCCACGTGTCCACGTTCTTTTGTTTTGCTACTAGTAGGTTTCGCTACTAGCTGGAGGCCATCGCTATTAGGTTGGAGGCCACTAGGAACAAGAAGCTTCCTTGGGAATCGTTTCAGCTGTAACAAGAAGCGAAATCGAACGGTTCGGTCTTTGAAGCTGCTTAGGAAGCTACGAAGCTATTTGCATCTATTTGCTATTTGCTATTCTCAACCACTTTGGACCATTCACGTAGCTTCGCGACTTCGAGGTCACCACCACTGACCTGGTGAGTCCATTTCTGACCGTCTCCAATGTGTCGGCCACGGACTGGGGAAGAGGGAACTTCTTTTTAGCGGCGGGTAGGCCATAGAGGTAGTAGCTAGAGGTAGCTAGTAGCTTAAGTAAGCTAGTAGTTTAAGTAAGCATCTAGTAGCATGGACGCAGGAAAACTCACACAAATATGATTTAGTTCCTAGCTTTTTTTTCGGAAAACTTAACTTATATTACCAATTGAACATGATGAAATGGAACAAGCGTTTCGTGGGCATTGGCCAGTCTCGAAGTTCCCCGCAGGACTATACGGCCAAGGTGTACTTGGACTTGCGAGATCCTGGAAAGGCATATCCTGCTCTCTCCACCTGTATAGCTCGTGAGTTGACTGGGGTCTCACAGGCAACCTGGCTGCACCAAGGCGAATCGCGAATCGAGGAAAGCGCCACAGGCACAGTGAGCACAAGAACAAATCAGCAAAGAAGAAAGAAAAGGAAGGCCCTTACAGGTCCTTACAGGCCCTTACAGGCAAGGGCTACCTGCTTTTGGTTCACCTCTTTCTTCAGACTCCCAAACCGGTGAGGCTTTACCGCCCATGAGCGAGCTCTCCTCACAAGGGCAGAAGTGTCACTACCTGATGGTCGAAGCGACGCACACAGGAGATGGTCGTGTCGCCATGCAGACAGTGTCCCTGGGCATCACCAAACAAGCGTCCCCTTAGGCGTCTCCTTAGGCTGGTCGGTTTGTTGAAAGTAAAATATACCAACAACAAAAAAAGAAAACAATTGTTTTTTTCCTCTCTTTTTGTGTTCGTTTTTCTCGTTTCGTTCGTACAGTCTCCAAGAGAAGCATTGGTCGCTGACAAAGAGCTCCGTCAGGTTTTCCTCTCGGCTTCTCGATCGTGAGCTTCGCCTTCAACAGCATCTCGGTAGAGTTTGGCGTCGCAACACCTGGTCTCTTTAGGAGTCCTTTTACGAAAAATGCTGTTTCAGGTGACCTGATGCTTCAATGTCCAGTTTGCTACTTTGGGGCCGAAGCAAACTCTTAGGTTGGAGGCTGCTTTTTCGAGTCAAAAGGACAGACGTTGGACTCCCTTCGACGCAATGCGACGTCGAAGTCAAATAGCAGTCGCGAAGAGTCCGACTGGGAGATTCGGCTCCAAATAGCAATGGCCTTCAATCTCATTGACTTTAAACATTTGCTGGTTCCTTTTTCAGTTACTAGTAGCGATGGCTTCCAACCCACTATAGTGATGGCCTCTCCACTCCAACCCACTATAGCGATGGCCTCCAACCAGCGATGGGGCCAGGTCCCAATGGGGTGGTCATCGTCAAGACTATCAGAGCTGCGGCTTCAATCATGAGCCAATGGCTGGTCCCGGCGGTTGCAGTTCCAGAGGATCCTTGCAGAAGGCGGGAACGAAGATTTTGGTTGTTGGCCGTCGCTTCTAGGAGCAAGGACGCTACTAGGGGCTCCTGGCCTTACTACTAGGAGCAATGTTCGCTACTAGGGGCTCCTGGCCTTACTACTAGGAGCAATGTTCGCTACTAGGGGCTCCTGGAACCAGAGTGTGCACCATTGCGAGCTCAACATGCTTCAAGCAATTCGCTGCATTTCTTGCGTGAAACAGAGCGACATCCAAATCCTTTAATTTTGGCTGACACGGCATGGCCAAAACCAATCCCGGTGCTCTAGGTTTGAACTTGTTCTGATCACTTGGCTGGATGACTCAGCTTTGAAACTGTAAGGACTGTCAAAAAATAGAATAGTAGCTTTATTGTTACTAGTAATAAGGTCAGGAGCCCCTAGTAGCCTCCGATCGCTCCTTTCGTAGCGATGCCCTTTGCTCCGTTCGTAGCGTCCTTGTTCGATTCATGCTCATGTGCTTTTCGTCCGATGTGCTCGGTCCCAAGTTCGTCGCACTTTCTCCACACCGCGCCACGCGGCGTTGAGGTGAGTTTTCTTTTGTCGGTGAAGGCCATCAGGGACGTCTATGTTTGGATTGGCGAAATCGGGGGCCTGGGCTATGAGGCTCGATGGAGAGAAAGAAGAGTGTCCAGGTCCTATCGTGTATTTTCGTGTCTTCTTCCTTTTTGTTTGTTTGCTTTTAAAAACTTCACATAGAACATAGATTTGTGTGATATGTGTTTCCTGTGATTCTATTTGGGTGAATTGACGAATCTTCTCCAGTCTTTGATCTCGCTCCGTTTCTTTCTTTCGTCTTTGGCTCTCAGATCTTGCTTGGCGGATGGCAAAACACGCGAGTGACCTTGTCCCATGGCTATTCACGGGATCCGAGCAACGAAGCCTGGCCAACACAATGTTCACGAGTTTGGTACACCGTCTTTTTCAAGGCAGAAGGGGTCAAAAAGACAAAAAAGCAAGTCTAAAGGCTTGAAAAAAAGAGAGAAAGGTGGGACAGAGAAAGAGAAAGCAAGGAGTACGTAACTCTTTCTTGTATTTCAGTCTTTTGTTTGACAAAGAAGGTCATTCTTTCGGGTTCAGTGATGTCCGACTCGGGTGCCAAACGGCTCTACCGAGGAAGGGCAAGCGCCGCCCACGGTGATGAGGGCCTATTCCTCACCGGACGAAGCACAAATCTTGGACCAGAACAGCTTCCTGACCTTCTGGGTCGACGCTTGGGCGATGGCAAATGGCGGTGGGGCCATAGTAAGCTTAGAGGGAAGGAAGCTTCTGGCTACTGGAGCCAGCTCCCCCCCTGCACTCCCGCAATGATGTGGTTTTGATTGGTTTTGTAGATTTCTTGAACTTGAAACCCTTGGAGCACCCAAGCTTGACTTATATTGTACCGGCCTAAGTGAAGCCCCAAAGAAGTAGGTCACATGAAAGACGGTGACCTGGAGTCGGACGCGTTGCTCAGGACGCAGATCCAATGACTGGGCTGATTCGTGTGGGCGCCAATGAGATTTTCGGACACAATGTGCTCATCGCGTTCGCCCTCAGTGGTGGCTGCTGTCTTTGAGACAGCAGGGGCAGGGACGCCTGTATTCTCTTTCCACCTGTCATGAACTAGACTTGCCATTAGGCTGCTGAGCAGTGAATGCAAACGTCAATGTTGCGTGCTATGTTCACATCCAAACGTTTTAAATCAAGGACTGTGTTCAAAACATCCATAAAACATACCGGGAACCCGGTATGGTTCTGGCTTTTGGCCAGGTACAATGACTCGAATCCGATCAGCCCACTGACCTCCTTGATGGTGGGCACGCTGCAGAGCGAAGGCAAACGAGAGAGTCGAGAGAGTCGAGAGAGACGTGAAGTCGCAGAAGTTCCGGGAGACGTGAATTCTTCTTCGGGAAAAGAAAGGAAAATCTTTCAGATCTCAAGAAACGAAGCCGCAAAGGGAACGAAGCAAGAAACGAAGTCTTGTTGACATACTGTAGCACCTACCTCCAACAAGCCTCCACGGAGTGTGTTGGTACTCTATCCTTCTCAATTAAGTAGGTCACGTTCTTGAATTCCTGCGCTTGAATTCTTTAGACGATCCTTCTTTCGACCTTTCGAACAGGTGGACTCTCTCGCTTTTTGCGCCACCAGGTGCTCCGCCGCAGATTTACGTTTGCCCCAGGCGATGGATCAGACGGGAAGTATGGGAAGTCAAGTTGGGTGAAGACGCTCTTCGGAGGGGCCAAAAAAAGTGCGTGTTCTTATGTTTGAACCCGCTTCCCCCCGTCCCTATTTAATTAAGTAGAGACTACCTACTAAAAAAATGTAAGGGAGAGGCAGCCAGTAGGAACAGGAGGCTCCTAGGTAGGACGCAGGATAGCTCGCGCTATTCATTTGGTTCCTAGATTTTTTGGGAAATTTAACCAGCGACGGCCTCCACCTAATAGCTTTCTTGCTACTAGTATATAGAGAGGATTATTGCACGGATCCAGATGGAAGATGAGAGTGGATTTGTAGAGCTTTGCTAACACTCTTGGCCCTAAGAAAGGAGAATAAGGCCTAAAGCGGTCTAAAGAAAAGACAAGAAAAGACAGGAAACTGCTTTCTATGTTCTGGCGCTTAGTTTGTCGTTCAATGATCTCTCTGTCTCCAGTTCAGAACTCTTTCCCTGGTGATGGCATAAATCAGTCCTCAAGTATCGACCTCAGGAGTCTTGCTTGTTACTACTAGTAAGGCACTTGTTCCTAGTAGCGAGGCACTTGCTTCTAATAGCTTCTTGTTACTACTCGAAATCTGCAGAAATTTGCGAACAGATTGAGCTCTTCAGTCGCCCGCGTTCCCACCTTGTGCCAGGGTGGGAAACCTCCTGCAGGGTCGATCCATCCAGAGCTCTTCAGTCGCCTTTAACGGATCTCCGGAGAAGGCACGATCGCCGCCGCGAGCACGGCAAGGTGACTCCTTTTTTGAGGTGTTGTTCTCCATGTTGGGGGTCTAAAGACTCTTGTTTTTCTTGTTTATCGTTTTTGTTCCTTCGACCGTTCTTCCTTTTCTTTTAGTGTTTCTTGTTTTCTGAAGATTGGGATGTGTGTGTGCTGTGTGCTGTCCCTGGACAGTTTTTGGAATGACCAATGTTCACCTGTCGGTGCCGGTTTTGACATTGTGACCGGTAAGAGTGAATCCTTCGAAATCTCGCAAAGGGCATCCAGCGGTGAATGTACAAACTTTGACCACCAGGGTGACCACCAGGGTGACTTCATCCCTCTTTGTGTCGATGTCAAAGGCAAGTCTAGGCGGACGTCAAAGGCATCGGTCACCCACAAAGCAGCGACTCTTGGAAAGGTGTTTTCGTTGATCTACTCTCATAATTTGCGAATCCAGATGGGAAGAAACGAAACAAAGCTGTTGAAGAAACAACTCAAAAACAACTCAAACGTGTCTTTTTCTTTGTTTTGTTTCCTTTTCTCCGAACCTTTTTCGCAGGCTGTGGATGGGCAATGGGGCGACAACACCTTCTGCGAGTACTGCGCTCGGAACGATCCCCTGCACGTTTGCGCCTCCACGCGGCGACAGGAGGGGGGCCGGTCGACCGAGGTAGCTACTACTTAGCCGTAAGGACGCAGGATAGCTCACGCACTATTCATTTGGTTCCTAGATTTTTTTGGGAAACTTCACTACCAGGCTGAATTGACCCATCCACGTGCACTGCATGCATGTGCTTTAACACAGCTAGCCTCAGCTAGCAGCTTGAGCTTCCACACATGGTTCTCGGAACAAAAGCAAAACTCCAATGACATGCTTTTGGACCCTTTCAAGAATATCAAAAAAAGCTGTAGCTCCTGTTGACAAGCTCTTGATTGATTCTATCTCCATCCTTAGAGGACAGCTTCAACCCGCCCTACTTCCGCATCGCTTTGGGCAGCGACCGACTCTATTTGATCAGTGCGATTCGCTTGGTGGTCCCAACCGATGGCCGGCCGGAGCAGTCAGCAGAGTGGACCATCTATGTGACTTGGACGCTACGACCGGGGCTGGCCTTACTACGAACAAGAGGACGCTACTAGTAACAAGTGCATCGCTTCTAGTAACAAGTGCCTTACTAGTAGTAACAAGAGGACGCTACTATTGTCTTTTTCTTCAATAAACCTAAGAGCGATGGCCTCCAACGTAATAGCATTCTTGTTTTCCATGTGTTCTCCTTCGCAAGGGGAAGCCCATGAACTAGAGAATGGAAAAGGGAAAGAATGGAAAAATGTCAAAGATCCACAAAAAAGAAAGAGTAGGACAATAGAAGAGAAAAGGTCTTCATTTAGAGTCGAAAGAAGGAAAGAAAATTGGGCTTTGTCGATGTCCGGAGCGAGCATGTCCAAGAAATCGTAGACATTCTTTTAAAAACCTTTCCTTACTTTTTCTGTCCTTTATATTTGTCATGTCCCTTTTGTTTCTTTCCTTTTTCGACGGCGCAGCGAAGTTTGAACCTTTAAGGTGGGTACCACGGGCTTCCGCTCCGATTCGGTGTGCACGGTCATCCCCAATGCACGTGGTGATCACATTTGGCCTTGCACTCCAGCCGCTGGGGCCTTCTCAGAGCGCGGTCCGCCCTCGTGCCGTCGTCTCTTCGAAAGCTAAAGCCATAAGAATCCTGAGGAACAAGGACGCTACTAGGAGCAAGTGCCTTACTAGTAGTAACAAGGACGCTACTAGGGGCTCCTGGCCTCGCTACTAGTAACAAGGACATACAAGGACGCTACGAACGGAACAAAGGGCATCGCTACGCCCGGAGCAAGGACACTACTAGGGGCGCTCCTGGCATTACGACTCGGAACAAGAAGCTACTAGTAACAAGGTGGCCATCGCTAGTAGGTTGGAGGCTATCGCTATGATTATGGCTTGAAGATTTGGCTGGCCCATGCGATTAAATCTTGCTAGATGCCGCACCACCGTATAGGCCTAAGTCCCAAAACAAGCGTTTGTGAAGATTTGTTTTGGCTGATGGCATCCTTGGACACCGGAGCTTTTCTCGTTTGGAATTTATCCACGGAGATCCGAAGGCCTAAGGCGTAAGGTTTTGACAAAGCGATTCACCACGATTGGTGGCTCCACTGTTTTCAAAACGTTCCACATTCTGCGCTTTTCTTCATCGAACGCCAGGCAAATGGCAACTACGTCAGCGTTTGGGGCAACGTCAACCAGCTGAAGGCATGACAGCTTTCATGAGTTTTCCCCAAAGCAAAATGAACAAAACGCACACACACACACAGAGGTTTTAAGAAGCAAGAACATGAATGAAAACGAAAGGACTTCCTTCAAAAAACAAGGAAAACAAGCTTTCTTCCGTTGAAAAGCAGAGAGTCGAGCTCGTCAGGTGCTTCCGGAAGAGTTTGGCATCCGCATTTGCGAGATCGAAGCCTATGCCACCTACCAGACCACACGGCTCGAGGCCTTTTTCCAACGAAAAAGAGAAAAGGAAAAAGAGAAAAGGACAGTCAAAGCTGTGTGGAGAAGACGCCCATACTAGTAGGGCCAGGAGCCCCTGGTAGCATCCTTGCTCCTAGTAGCGTTGTGACACCAGACTTGTGAAGCCCGAGTTCTGAGCCTTCATAATGAGGGAGTGATCTGTTCATGTTTCTTCATGTGTCTTCAACCGAAAGGTGAAGAAACGAGACCGAGCGAAAATCGAAGAAAACACCCAGGTCACCCCTGTTTTTTTCAGTCCACCCTTACTGGTTTTGAGTATAAGGCTCCTGCTACTTAAGTAGAGAAGTTCGCTCCTAGCCACTGAACAAACGGCGATGGACTCCGCAGCACGTCATCGACAAGTTCGCCTTGGCCAACGGCTTGCCCCAGCCTTTCCCGACGGATGGACCGCCACAGAACATCAACATCTACGGACTTCAGCCCAACCGCAGTTACGAGGCCATTCCGCGGTTGAGATATACCAGGAAACGAATGAAACAACGAATGAACAACGAGAGATTGTTGTTTGAGCCTTGGTAGAGGTTGGTGCCAAATCTAGCTTGGTTGAATCATTCAACAAGATTTGACAGGGTTTTTGAATGTCTGTCGTGCAGGAAAGGAATGTGAGTGAGAATGAATATATTGTTGCCCAGTGTTTTTTTGTGGTGTTTCTGATCTAGGTATGTAGATGAAACTTGCACCAAAAGACGCAGCTGTGGCAACAGTGTTTTTGATGCACAAAGAAATACTGAAGACACTGTATCTTTCGGTATGAGAGTCCGAAAGCAAGATCACAACCCATCAAAGCTGCTAGAAGTGTTTCATGATTGACCTTGACGATTCGCATCTGGAACAGGTCTTTTGTTACAGTGAAGATCTTTACGGCAACCTACAGTACAGTCAATCAGCTCCTCTCACCTTGAAGACCACAGTAGCCTTGGTCGCAGGGATGCTCCGAGATCCGGTCGTTGTATGAAGATCCGTCCGTATCCTTTCTTGTTTCTAATAGTAAGGCACTTGTTACTAGAAGAGATGCACTTGT